AAAAAAAAAAAAAAAAAATCATTCTCAATACAATATAGACCAGATAAGCACAGATTTAAAAGTTGTCAACTGTCTTCATCAGGGCTTGGGAAGGTATTCTCATCCACTACTGTCAGTGTAAATTGGCAAAAAGTCCAAGAAGAACCATTTGGAAATACACAGTAAACCTGTGTTTAGTGGGAGATGGAAGGCAGAGCTGCAGAGCGAAAAACACAATGTTCCCTCTCTTGAAGTTAAAACAGGTTCCCCAGAATCCTGTCTACTTTACCAACAGACTGGGTTTCTGGTGTTTGTGAGGGAGCCTGATTTGTCTGTTTTCCCACTAACTACCATCCTGGACATCTGAAGGGTACGTAGGGTGGACAAGTGCTGAAATAGTGAACATTCATGCAGATTTAACTGAGTTAATTCCGGGAGTTCTGAGTTAAGTATGGTCTCACACATACATGTATCCTCTATCTCTGCTTTCTCAGGACTGTTTCCTTTTCCAAAAGAAGAGCTCAAAAGAGAAGGTTCATCTAGAAATCTCAAAGCCATGTCTCAGGTGAGATGATGTTTCCTCTCTTTCTGGAATAACTTTTTTTCATGGTGTATGAACATGAGCTTCCCTGTCCTTTAACCTTCCCAGATATTGAGATTTTCTTCCGTGAAACTAGTCTTCAGTCAGGGCCAGATTAGGATGAGGCAGGCGGGTGGCATGAGGTGAAATATTTAAGGGGTACCCTCAGGGCTGTGCCTGCCTAAATTTTGCATTCTAGATGCCTCACCTGCCTCATCCTATATCCAGCCCTGTTCACAATTTCTCCATTCCAACCAGATCAACTTAAGCCTTCCCCAAGCGCACCTTCTAGTTGTACATATTCATTGGGTACATCATTCATCATCTCCTTTCTCAGTCTTCTCACAAACTGCTGAAACAGAAAGGTATTGTCTTGATTTAAATGGGAATATATGGCTTGAATCAATTTAACTTGTCCTGATGCTGATTTGAGATCTAAGTTGTGAGTAGTCATGGAGCAGACATGGAAAAACCTTAATTATCTCCGCTAGCCTAGGTTTTGCAGTGATATGTTGGGAGATAGAAGTGGTAGATCCCAGCATTCGTTTCTGGAAAGATGTCCTGCTTTGTGAGGCGTTTAGGGTAGCAATTTGATTGTAGGCTTGTCAAAGAAACAGGTTTTGTGTTCCTCCTCTCTGATCTTCGTGTTTTATTCATGTCTGCTAGCCGATCCTATAAATTGTGGCCTGCCAGTGAAAACCTTTCCAGTATTCTGATGCTGTTAGAGATTTGTTATTTTCTTTTTAGTTTCTTTTAATGTTTTATATGCTGGTGCAGGAGAAGGAAATCCATATGCCAGGCCACTTTTGAAATACTCTATTGTTGATCAAACAGTACTTTGTCCTCTTTTCATATCTTTCAGAAAATTCCTCTTTAGCTCATCCACCAACCTTTACAATATTGGTTTTCCTCAGATGCTAATTGGTTCTCTTCTTCACAGTCCCTTTTTCTCTATGCATAATCATATTCACTCTGAAGGCTACACTTAGTGTGATTCTAGTGACTCTCAAATACCCCTCTCCACTCTAGACCCCTGTCCAGAGTGTCAAAACTATATATCCAACCTCCACTAGCTATCACCACCTGTATGTTCCACAGACACTTAAAGTACACTTCCAAGGTTACCTCATTACTTCCTTTGGTCCAGCCTACATTTTCTTCTGTTTCCCATTTTCACTTTCTAGTCCCAGCAGCCATGCATTTGCCTATGCAGATAACATGCCTGTATCTTTTCCACTCTACAGCCAATTTACAACCATCTCTGTTGTAATGGTGGTCATGTAGGTGCAGTTGTTCTCTGTCAGCCCGCTGACACTTCCTTAATCTAGAAGACATCTCTAACCATGGTTACTTAATTGTCATTCCCACATAATATACATTAAGCCTTTTCTAGTCTTCAGGAGTATTGCCTCAAAACTTTTATCACATAACATGTGTGTCCTTATGTTTATTCACGTTCTTTCTATTCCTTAAAGCAACAGACCCAAAGTAGGGCATGCATCACAGTAGAATGTACGAGATCGTCTACTGGAAGGAAATAAAATGTTAACAATTTACATTCAAGAGCAGTAATCATTAACAATGTAGATTTTCATAAATGCCTATTGATGGTTTATAAATAGCTACAATGTTGGGAATGTGTTCAGTATATCTTTAAGACCGCTGTTCTGTAGGAAAAAAAAATCTAGTGTCATGTCATAATATCCCCACTGCCTACCTCCATATACCTTTTCCTTCTTAGAGCTCAAAGACTGTTTCCTAACATACTGTGCCTTTTGCTATTTCCTGATTTACTAACTGGTTTTTTTCTCCCCATGAATTTTTAAAAGCTGATGCCCTGTATTCCTACAAAACAAATTCGTTGTGAGTACAAAACTTTTATGTCCTCAGTGAAGCCTCAGAGTACAAAATGAAATTTTTCCTTGTTTTGTGACACTTTACCTTGTACGTATTTCTGTCATTGCATCTGTAAAACCTACTAAGTGCATGTATTTACATGTATGCCCCTCTCTTAGCCTGTAACTTCTCATGAGCAGGGTCAGGGTTTTATTCATTTTGGTCTACCAGGCAACCAGTCACATTCAGGACAAGTAGTGTGATCTCAGTATGTTTAGCATGAGATTATAAGTAAATACAAATGGATGTATTTTCAGAGAGAGAATTTTATACAATATAAAACATAAATAAGGAAACTAGTCTGACCAGTAAACATTGTCAGTACTAGGTCTCCAATATCTAGTTCTCACACATTTCCGATCACTTCAGGATGAACTAGAGTATGCCCTTACAGGGATCAGTGTCATTCAAGGATGTGACTGTGGACTTCACCCAGGAGGAGTGGCAGCAACTAGACCCTGCTCAGAAGGCCCTCTACAGGGATGTGATGTTGGAAAACTATTGCCACTTTGTATCTGTGGGTAAGAAGCACTCCTGAATCTTTCAATGTCATGCATCTCCTTCTAAGAATTCCTGATACATATAGAACTTTGAATTTCAAGGATTAGAGGTGATTTTTTTTTTTTAGTAGAAAGTATTATCTTGCCAGGCGCAGTTGCTCACGCCTGTAATCCCAGCACTTTGGGAGGCCGAGGCAGGTGGATCACTTGAGGCCAGGAGTTTGAGACCAGCCTGGCCAACATGGTGAAACACAAAAATTAGCTGGGTGTGGTGGCACATACCTATAATCCCAGCTACTTAGGAGTCTGAGGCACGAGAATTGCTTGAACCTGGGAGACGAGGTGGCAGTGAGTCAAGATTGAACCCTGCACTCCAGCCTGGGTGACAGAGCGAGACTGTCTCAAAAAAAAAAAAAGAGAAAAGAAAAGAAAAGAAAATATGATTATATCATCACTTGTGTAGTATAAGGTATTAACTTTGGTAAGACATTAATGTATACCTCATTTACTACCTTGAAGTTGTATCTTTATCTTACTTCAATAGTTTTAAAGTCGAAACAGCTTAGACCAAGAGTCTTATTTTCCATCATCAGGGTTTCACATGACTAAGCCTGATATGATCCGCAAGTTGGAACAAGGAGAAGAGCTATGGACACAGAGAATTTTTCCAAGTTACAGCTATCTAGGTGAGTCTATAAATGAAGTCTAGTAAATATTAAATGTCAAGTAGTTGATGCCTTTGAATGTTTTTAGGGATCTATTTTTGTTATTTTGGTAAAATACACATAACATTAAATATACTATCTTAAACTTTTTAAGCATATAGTTCAGTGGCATCAAGTACATTCTCACTGTTGTGCAACCATCACCACCATCCATCTCCAGAACTCATCTTGCAAAAATGAAGCTCTGTACCCATTAATTTCCCACGGCCGGACGCGGTGGCTCACGCCTGTAATCCCAGCACTTTGGGAGGCCGAAGTGGGCGGATCTTGAGGTCAGGAGATCGAGACCATTCTGGCTAACATGGTGAAACCCCGTCTCTACTAAAAATACAAAAAATTAACTGGGCGTGGTGGCAGGCATCTGAAATCCCAGCTACTTGGGAGGCTGAAGCAGGAGAATTGCTTGAACCTGGGAGGTGGAGGTTGCAGTGAGCCAAGATAGCACCACTGCACTCCAGCCCTGGTGACAGAGCGAGACTCCATCTCAAAAAAATAAATAAATAAAAATAACTTCCCTTTATCCCTACTCCCTAGCCCTGCCAACCGCCATTCTACTTACAGTCTCTGTAAATTTGACTACTCTAGGTACCTCTTGTAAGTGGAATCACATAGTATTTATCCTTTTTCTGACTGGCTTATTTTACTTAACATAATGTCCTCCAGGTTCATCCATTCCTTCCTTTTTAATGCTGATTAATATTCTGTTGTATGTATATACCACATTTTGCTTATTCATTCATACATCAGTGGTCAGTTGGGTTCCTTCCATCTTTTGGCTATTGTGACTATTGCTGTTGTGAACATGGGTGTACAAATATCAGTTTTAGTCCCTGCTTTCAGTTATTTTGGGTATAGTCTCAGAAGTGGAATTGCTGAATAATGTGGTAATTCTGTGTTTAATATTTAAGGAATCACCATACTGTTTTCTGTAGTAGCTGCGTCATTTCACATTCCCACCAACAGTGTACAAGGGTTACAGTTTCTTCACCAGCACTTTTTATTTTCTATATTTTCATAGTAGCCTTCCTATTAGTGATGTATTAAAGACCTGAGACCTGTAAAGTGCCTATATATGGCTGACTTTCATGCCTCTAAAATGTAAATTTTAGGTATGAATATCACTCCCATGTAAATCTTTTCCTTGTTTACCTGTGTTTATGGAAATATTGGCTGCTATTACCTTACCAAGAATCTATTCCATGTTTTATAGGTATAACGTACATGGAGATATAAAATGTAAAGTTCTGTGAGTTCTGACAGAAGTATAAACCCATGTATCTCACACTCCAATCGAGATAAAAGACAGTTTCATTAACCCATTAAGATCCACCAGGCCTCTTCCAACTCAATCCCTCCCATTAAGACAATCAGAGTTGTGACGTCTACCAACATAGATTCATTCTGTCTATTGCAAACCTTTTTCATATCTGCTTTCTTTCACTCAGCTTCATGTCTGAGAGATTTATACCTGCTTCTGCATGCATAAGTAGTTTGTTAACTGTGAAACAGTTTTCCATTGTATGAATATATCAGTTTATGCATCTCCTGTTGAAAGACATTTGGGATGTTTTTAGTTTAGGATGTTTTTAGTTTATGAACAAAGTTGCTATAGTCATTCTTGTAAAAATATTTCTGTGGACATACATGTTTATTTTTCTTCAGTAAACACCTAGCAGTGATATTGCTGATTCATAAGGCAGATACATATTTTACTTCTTTAGAAACTACCATTTTAGTTTGGTAGTTTAGTAGCTAAAACTACTATACCATTTTAGACTTTCATCAGCACTGTATGAGAATTTTGATTGCCCCACATTCTTTTCTACATTTTACGTTCATTTTGGCCATTCTGGTCATGTTGGCCATTCTTGTTGTATAACTTTGCAGTTTTTTTTTTTTTTTTTTTTTTTGGACAGAGTTTCGCTCTGTTGCCTGGGCTGGAGTGCCATGACGCAGTCTCAGCTCATTGCAATCTCCGCCTCCTGAGTTCAATCAATTCTCCTGCCTTAGCCTCCTAAGTAGCTGGGATTACTGGCGTGTGCCACGATGCCCAGCTAATTTTTGTATTTTTAGTAGAGATGGGGTTTCACCATGTTGATCAGGCTGGTCTCAAACTGCTGACCTCGTGATCCGCCCGCCTCAGCCTCCCAAAGTGCTGGGATTACAGGCGTGAGCCAGCGCACCCGGCCAACTTCGCAGTTTTAATTTAGATTTATTTTACGGCTAATGATATTGAAAACCTTTTCACGTGCTTTTTATATTAGAGGCATCTGTTCAAGTGTTTTGTTTGTTTGTTCGTTTGTTTCTTTGGTTTTGAGATGGAGTCTCACTCTGTCGCCCAGGCTGGAGTGCAGTAGCGCAATCTTGGCTCACTGCAACCTCTGCCTCCTGGGTTCAAGCAATTCTCCTGCCTCAGCCTCCCAATTTGCTGGGATTACAAATGTGCGCCACCACACTGGGTACTTTTTTGTATTTTTAGTAGAGACGGGGTTTCATCATATTGGCCAGGCTGGTCTCAAACTCCTGACCTTGCCATCCGCCCACCTTGGCCTCCCAAAGTGCTGGGATTACAGGCGTGAGCTACCATGCCCAGCCCTGTTCAAGTGTTTTATCCATTTTTTATTTAAGTAGTATCTATTTTTCCTTGAGTAGTAGGAATTGTTTACATATTGTGGATAGACATCTTTTGTTCAATGTACGTATTACAAATATTTTCCCTAGTCTATGACTTGCGTAGTCATTTTAATTGTGTCTTTTGAGGAATAGAAGTTTTTAACTTTGGTGAATTTCAGTTAATCATTGTTTCTTTTATAATTAATTAATTATTTGACCTCTCAAACAAATATTTGTCTTTTTCTAAGTATAGTGAGGATAGTTCTCTTTTCTAGGTATGGTGAGGATAGTGCTCTGTATTTTCTGTGTATAGTTTGCTTTTTTTTGAGACAGTATTCTGCTCTTGTTGCCCAGGCTAGAGTGCAATGGCATAATCTCAGCTCACCGCAACCTCCACCTCCCGGGTTCAAGCGATTCTCCTGCCTCAGCCTCCCAAGTAGCTGGAATTATAGGCATCCATCACCACGCCCCACTAATTCTGTATTTTTAGTAGAGGCGGGGTTTCTCCTTGTTGGTCAGGCTGGTCTCGAACTCCCAGCCTTAGGTCATCTGCCTGTCTCAGCCTCCCAAAGTGCTGGGATTACAGGTGTGAGCCACTGCACCTGGCTGTATATTTTGCTTTTTATGATTAGTTCTGTGATGCACCTCATGTTTTTTTTATGATGTGAAGTAGGGTTCGAGAGTCTATTCTTCTATATGGTTATCAATTTGTTCCATCAGTATTTGTTGCCTGAATTACTCTGATGATCATAGAGAAAATTGATCACATTTGTGTCAGTCTATTTTTGGACAATCTGTTGTTTCTTTGGACATATTTTAAGTCACATTGACAATACCACCTGGTCTTTGATTATTGTAACTTTATAAGAAGTCTAGAAGTCAGTTAGAGTAAGTCTTCTAACTTTGTGCTTTTTAAAAACTTTTAGGGCCAGGCATAGTGGCTCATGCCTGTAACCCCAGCACTTTGGGAGGCCGAGGCGGGCAGATCACCTGGAGGTCAGGAGTTCAAGACCAGCCTGGCCAACATGGTGAAACCCCATCTCTACTAAAAATACAAAAATTAGCCAGGTATGGTGGCACACGCCTGTGGTCCCAGCTACTCGGGTGGTTGAGGCAGGAGAATTGCTTGGATCTGGGAGGCACAAATTGCAGTGAGCCAAAACTGTGCCATTGCACTCTAGCCGGGCAACAGAGTGAGACTCTATCTCAAAAAAAAACAAGCAAACAAACGAAAACAACTTTTAGCTATTCTAGGTCATTTTCTTCTCAATTTCATTTTGGAATCAACTTCTTGATTTCTTTAGATAAACATGCTAGGTTTTTTATTAGTGAGAACTAATGTCTTAGCAATATTGAGTTCTGTGGTTCATGACAATGCTATAGCTTTCCATTTTAGTTAGCTTCTCTAATTCCTGTAAGAA